GATACATCAATCTTGCCTGGAGGTTATTATCTTTCAAAGCTTGAATTATTTCCCCCCACGCTCTTCGTGATTTGATGGTTTGTGCCGAGAAGTCTGCTGTAATTTTGATGGGTGTTCCTTTGTAAGTGATCTGTTTCTTGTCTCTGACAGCTTTTAATATTCTGTTCTTATATTGGATTTCTGGAATTTTGATTATTATGTGCCTGGGTGTAGCTCTGTTTGGGTTGTAGATTGCTGGGGTCCTGTATGCCTCATATATCTGAGTATCTTTACCATTTGCCAAATTAGGGAAATTCTCTTGGATTATTTCTGTGAATAGCTTTTGAGTCTATTTGTTTGTGTCCCCACTTCTTCTCTTACGTTCTTAATTCTTAAGTTATAGATCCTCTTATCATCTTCTAGTTTTTGTATTGTTGCTGTTTGTTTTTTTGTTATTTTTAAGAAGTTTTTCATTACATGCTCCCATGTTACAAATCTGCCCTCCAGTTCAGATAATCTGTCCTTAGTTTCTTTCAAGCTGTTATGCCAGTTTTCAATAGAGTTTTTAGTTTCCTTGTAATCTCTTTGAACCTCCTTCATGTATTCTATGTTTTCTCTATTTTCTCCATCAAACAATTCTCCCCTTTTTTTCTGTTCTTCCATTGTACCATCTGTTTTTTCCTGGGCGGTACTTAGCATTTCTCTAACTATTCTGCTTATGTCTAGCTTCGGGTCATTCATAACTTCATTCCTGAACTCCTCTATGAGGCTCTGGAGATAGCACTTTATATCTATTGGTCCCATGTCTACTATTGCGTGTTTCTCGGGATTGGGGACTGAGGACCCTTTCTTGTTGCTCCCTCTTCCCATATTCTTTGTTCCTTATATTAAGCGTGTATAGGAGGCCCAGCTTCCTTCCCTGTCAGCCACAGTCTGTTTGAATTGCCGGCTAGGTGTTCCTGCCCACTGCAGTGTACTAGGGAGACACAGACCTGGGCAGCCTCTTCTGGGCCCGCCCCTCCAGGTCAACCTACCCCCAAGGCTTCACTGCTAGGGTGCGCCTTCAGGTACTGGGACCTGAGTTGGGCTATCCTATTGGGTCTCAGCCAGCGGCTTCTCACAGGCCAGGCACTCCCCACCAATCCCGCTTGAGAGGGGGATATGTGACTGAAGTCACTGCAGCTTCTTGTTCCGGGAAGTCTGCCTGGTCCGAGTATGTCCTCTGCTGAAGCCTCCTTCTCTATGTAAGGGTCCAATTCACTGGCAGGTCGATGCAGGGCACCGGCCAGTCCTGCTCCCATCTCCTTTCAACACTTCTCACTCTCCGAGGTTTTGCGCCTCTCCCTGCTGTGCCGACCGGGATGCAACAGCAGCTGCAGGTAATTCAAATTGCAGTTTCCAGTGGCGCGGGTCCAGCTTCCGTGCTGAGACCTTATCTGTGCCTGCTGTCTTGCCAGGATTGCATTTCCAGATGGTTTCTCTTAATTTAGTTCATTCCTGGGTCAGCAAAGAATATCCCCCCTTGCCTGGATCTTCCTGTCCTGCACCATTCCTAGATTTCAAGTGCAGTTTCTCCGAGAGCCTCAGAGGCTGCTGCTATCTATCCGCCATGTTCTTCTGGTAAAAAAGGTTGTATATTATGGACAAACTTATACCAACTGCCACTGACAGAAGCATCCCATCCAAACAGCAGTGCAGTATTCACTGCTGTACATGGAGGAAATGTTTCCAACACAGTCACAAAATAAACCCCAATCAATTTAAAAGAATTTCAATTATGCAGAGAATTTTGTCTCACTATGATGAAATACGTTTAGAAATTAACACTAGGGACAGCACTATTTACCCAGAACCTGAAAGAGTAAACAGTTAAGAGGAAGCATGGGAATGGAGCTCAGTGACAAAGTGCCTGCCCGGCAAGCGCAAGGCCCTGAGTTCAATTCCCAGGGCCAAAAATATAACCTAAAACAAAGGAGAGAATGTTAGCGGATATGTTTGAAAGCTTTGATGCAGGGAAAAAATTTCCTGAAAGACAAGAAGGGCCCAAGTCTATGGGCCTGTGCCTCATTTCCATGGAAGACACTGAATTCGTTAGACCTTTCTGAGTAACTTCAGGCTTGATGAGCTTCACTGCTGAATTTTACCAAACACTGAAGGTAGAAGAAGTATCAGTTTTATACACTGTCATAGGAATTTGAGGAGCAAAATTTCCCAGTTTATGAGGTCACTGTTATTGTGATTATTCAGAGCAGACACAAGTATCAGAGAGATAACTACACATCAATACCCTTGAAAAGAACAGACACAAGTGTTCTTAAAACTTAAACAATGGAGAGAAACACCTCTTAGAGCATCACTGAAAAGCACTAACTAAAGAGATTTCCACAGTAGTGACAGTGAATTATCATCTGAATTATTCAAGGTGATAAAAGCTTAAATTCAACAGAATGATCAGTACATTTACAAAATACACTACTACAAAATTACCTGAGCTAAAAAAAAGACATGATACACAACGTAAATGAGTTACTTAGCAACGAATTTGAGTCCATAAATGGTACCAAACAGAAATCCTAGAGAATTAAACTTGTATCCAAAGTGTGGGCAACAGAAATGACCACAAGGACAGAGCCCTGGAGTTAGAAGACAGGGCTGGTGTCAGTGCCCAAATACTCAGGGACACCTTACAAAACTGGAACATGGACAGTAGATCCAACAGCTATTAGATGGTGCACACACAACTAACTGGAATAAGTGAAAAACCACAAGACAGCACAGATGGCATAAAAATCTGTGACAGAAACAATAGCAGAAAACTTTCTGAATATGGGGAAGTAACTTGACATGCAGATAAGAAAGACAGATGAAACCCCAAGTAGCCACAATCAGAAAAGGATCTCCCCATGACATATGACAGTCAATACCTGGGAAGTCCAAGGTGAGAACAGAATCTTATAACCTCATAAAGAAAAGCAAGGAATCACTTATAAATGTAAAACCATTAGAAATACAGCACACTTCTCAACACAAACCATTAAGACCAGGAGAGCTTGGAGTGAGGTATTTCAACACATAAAAGAAAGCAACATCCAACCCAGGTGATATATCCTACAAAACTCTCTTTCAAAACCACTCTGCAGGACTTCAGGGCAACCACTTCCCTCGCTGGAGCCCAGCCAGTCCTGTCTGAAACACACTGTGGATGGCCTGGCTGCAAGGCCTCTCTAGCTTCCCTGGCCTTGAAACTGTCAGATTGTTGGACACTGTTAGTGTAGAAACAGGAGAAGTGACTGGGAGGCCCTGGCTTAGAGGAGCAGTGATCTCAGTGCCCAGGGATTTCCCTGAACTCTCAGAGGACGAGCAGGAGTTCTCCCAGGGCCTGGCACATGTATGACCGTCTTGATGTTCACCTCAGAGACAGAATACTGAACTCCAGTTGCAGGAGGTGTGTTGCCTCCCAGGATTTGGCAACTGTAGATAGAGAGCTTGTCTGCATGGCAGGATGTAGGTGAAACCTCCAGAGGAGTCTTCAAGGTTAGATGATGACACTATGAACAGCATCCCTGCAAACTTTCCTGGTCTTGACTATTTCAGGAGCATAACACTAACTTTGTCATAAAGGTGCAGAAACATAGGTTTACCAGACACACTCATTCTTTAGAATATTTCTATTGATGAGTTATTAACTTTACTTTTATAAGTGATGTTATATTACACAGTGGCTTACCAGGAAAAAAAACAAAAAAATATAAAGTATTGAATTTTTAATATTTATTGAGTGTTTATAATAAAGCATCAAAATTTAAAACATCAACAATTTTTTGGCATAAAGTCTACAAAAAATAACAAAAATATTCCTATACAAATTACACTGAAAATACCAACAGCAATTTACAAAAAAGTAATCTTCACTTCAATTATCACATCTAAATCAGTCTGTGCACATGACCACAGCGTATTCCATAGACACATAATACTCACACTGGGAGCACACGTTTTGCTGTCCTACTCTTTTTGTAGGATGTACTTGATATCTCAATGGTTTTGCTGTTTTGTCAAGGTTATTGTGCTATAGAGTGTGTAGCCAACAGGAACATAAAATATCAAAAGAAGTTCTTAAATTCTTACTGTGTATTGTGCCTTTAGAATACACATCAATGGGGCTGGGGGTTTAGCTCAGCATCATAAGCACCTGCCTTGCAAGCAGGCGGTCATGAGTTCAATCCCCGGTACCGATAAAAAAATGAAAAAGACAAAAAAAAAAAAAAAAAAAAAAGAATACACATCAATATATTTTCACATCAAAGATAACATCAAAAGTAGAAACCTATGTGAACTGCAATGTAAACAGAAACAAAAATCTACCACATAAATAAGCTTTGCTTCAACTGTCATATCCAAAGCAGTCTTTGCACTTGTCATACCCAAGGCAGTCTTGCATGTTCCATACACGAGGGACACTTCCACTGATAGCATGTTTTGTTTTCCTGTATTTTCTTGTAGGACACAGTTGAGATCTTTTTGTTTTCCTCTTATCATCGTGGATCTAGGAAGCTGTGTGTGCCTATTCACCTGTCAGCTCACCAGTGCACTCCACAGTACTTCACATAATTCACTGACAAGAAAAGCTGGATTTTTCTCTGCTGTGAATAATCTCATATGAACTGTAGTCCCAAACCATAAGAACATTTCTGTTCATAACATCATCTGGTTTATTATTCTATGAATAAACACCTTGTGGCTAAGTTCAAGCTAAATGTCTAAATTGAAAGCATAAAAAGTCCTCACATGCACAAGGGCATTCATTATGCCAGAGTTGACCCATCATTTTCCATGAGGCCTTTACATTCCTGCAATCACTATGAGAAATCCCTCCTAAGCACACAGATCCATAAATGCTTTCAGTTCAGCACCATGTCATAAAACATTTTTGAATATGGCTAATGGTGCATAGAGAACACTTTACTTGAATTTTAACCTCTGTATATTTCACAGAATCTTGTAACATTTCATGTGTTAAAATTTCCAACTTTGAATAGCAGTATCAGCATTCGTCCAATACATTTCACTCTTGCCAAGTCCCTCACTATATTTTTGGACTTAGTATTAACATTAGATTATTTCATTTGGTTATGTGGCCATTTTGCAACATTTTTACTAGTCAAATATGTATTCACATTGTTTTGTCATCTTAACAAAGGAGGTCAGTATCAGTATCAGTTGATCTTTGCTCCACTTCACTGTCCCAGGAAGTTTGACTCACATGGCCAATTTCAAAGTCCTCTTCCTCCTCTTCATCGACATCCATCCATCCACAACACTCTTCTGTTATGAAAGTGTTTTGTCATAATGGATCATCTTCATCATTCATGCATGAGTAATCTGACGATTCATTCACTTGTGACCTCCTCCAAGATATAGTTTTCACATGCCATTGTACAGAACTGGGCTATTTCCACCAGAAAAATCAAAAGAAAGCTTTTAAAAAGACAAACCCTGGAGTAATGGGGGATTATTGAACCCTCTTTGATGCTTGAATAAACACACAAAAGCAGTTAGATGGAGCACAACGTGGGTGAAAATCCCATTTTGAGACTTTTGCACTGGCTCACACACCTCATTGTTTGACACAGCAAGTTGGTAATCACATAAACTGCTTTCCAGTGTCCCTCAGGGGAAGGTAGTGACATGCCCAGCTGGCTATTGCAGTAAAGTAAAATTTACTGGTACAGGATAGGCCTGCTGCATGTAGTTATGTTGCTACCTACACTCTAATATGTCCCTGTGTCTCCTGAAACCTTTTCTTAACCAAAGACCCACTCCAACAGTAGAGTGGCCAACTCTTCTGTATTTGGCACAGAGGACTTTTACTTTGTACTTTTTCTACCTTCTTGCTTTGCATCTAATTGGGTGAGGTTTCCCATCTCGTCTCCCAGTCTCTGCTTTTGATTGGGAAGACACTGCCCCTTCATTAGAAGGGAACTAGAGCTTGCAAGAGTTTGCCTCTGTCAGGTGGCTGTTTCATGAGCCTTGCAGCATCTTGTCCTTGCTCTTTTTCGTCGTCTTCTTTATTTTTTAAAATTTTATTTTATTTTATGTTTTTCATATCAGGGATCAAACTCAGGACCTCACACTTGCCAGACAGATCTTATGCTGCTGAGTTGAATCCCTGGCCTAAAAAGAGGATAAAACCAAGGAAAATAAAACAGAATAAAACCGATCAAGATAAACCAGTATAAGTGATACAGGTCTTTAAAACTTAAAAATCAGCAATAGTTACCATAATGCCTCTATCATCTTCAAAATAGCTGCAGATACCTTTGGACCTGGTAAAAATCAAACAACAGAATAGAGCAGAAACAACAAACACAAAACAATGACTGAAGTAAAGGACTTCAAAACAAGCTCACAGTAAGTCCAGAATGGCTACCATAACATGTCTTGCTATCTTTTGAACAGTTGTTCATGGCATCAGATTTAATATAATCAAACAAAATGAAAGAATAAAACCCAACCATCAAAGCAATGAAAATGACATGGTTTCCAGGCAGGGCCCACCCCCTTGTGAGGCCTGGTTCTCGCTCCACAGTCTGCGAATGCTGCTGACTGGGAGAGAGGCTTGGGCGTGGCTGTCCCCACTCCAGCAGCAGCTGTCCCGCTCTTCTGCAGGAGCCATTCGTTTTGGAGTCAATGGGCTCGTCACCTGTGTAAAAGCTATTTATGTTTTCTTTGAGGATGCCGTGGATATAACTTTGAAAATCCCAAGGTCACCCCAGGGTGGTGTGAATCCGTGGCAGTTAAACATAGCCATATACAGGATGCTGCCCCACATCTGGGGAGTAAGTTTGTAGTTTCCTCCACGTATGCCACACTGTGTCTCAGGAAATACAGTACTACAGGGTGCATTGTTTTCTTTTCAATATGTGAGCCTCTAACATGTAGAATACAAAACCAGTCCTGATTTTCATAAAGGTCCACCTATTCAGCTTTAACAGACTTTTCTTCAGACTTGAGTTCCTGCAAAAAAATTCTCCTTTGTGAGCCAGGGTCTTGCTCTGTAGCCCAGGCTGGCCTTGAACTCACAGTGATCATCTTGCCTCAGCCTCCTGAGTGCTGGATCACAGGCATGTGGGACCAGAGCTGGTTCTTCCATTTCAACCTAAGGGACTCCTCTACCCAAGGCAGGCCTACTAGGAAGGACGGACATTCTTCAGTGCTTGCATCTAGGAATGTCTGAGTTTTCCCCCTCATTTTAAGGACAGTTTTGCTGGATGTAAAATGCTTAGTTGAGAGAGCTTTTTGTTTTGTTTCACTGTTTCATTCACACAGCACATGTCCACCTGTTTCCTTCTGTCCTCCTGTAACAGAATATCCCGCACCCCAGTCAGTATACTGCAGTTTCTTAGTTGTCCAGGTAACAGTTCTGTCTCTAAGAAACGGTTGGTCACTGTGATGCCTAGCTGGTCACTGTGATGCACACTGCATAAACCAGCCCCAATCAACAAGCCATTTTGCCCCTGTACTCCCCACTTGCTTATCCTATACAGGCCTCAGACCATCAGAGATCAGGGCCTGATATTCTGGGAATGTACCAATCAGTGCCCGTTGGTGTAAATAAATGTGTCTCCAACTCTTGGGTGTCCTTTCTGTGACTGTGCTTGCCGCTGCTCTCCAAGGATTTTGAGGATAAGTCTAATGACTATGTTTTTGGGGAATTGATGTCAGCTGCACAGGCATTAATTTATTTGTCATATTTTATACACTGACCGTTACGTTATTCTAATGTAAGTGAAGTTGCAGCATCACTTTGACACCAGTAAGAATTAAGAGCAAAAGGAACTGGAGATGCTGAGTGTAGACATCATGGGATCTCTAAATGTAAGAGGTATTACAGATGCTGAGAACTGATTCTCAGAACAGAAACAAAAGGGATATTGAAGCATCCTACAGGTTTGAATTTCAAAAACTCAAGTGTCAATCTCCATAACTCACATTAGTAAGACATTTTGTAACATTTTTCTGTTAGAAACAAAAGACCCTCATGGCCAAGAGTGTGAGGGGTGAAGTGGAGGTGACCAGCTCTGCCTGGGCCCACTGGCACCATGACTTCACAAGATCCCCTGTGAGGTCACAGCAGATAGCTGTATAAGGTAGGGTTTTCAGCCCAGAGACCCTTCGTGGGTGAAGTGGATTGGTGTTTGGAGAGTAGTTGGTGATTTGAGATTTGAAATTTTGATAATTGATTTTATAAAGTCTAGTTCCATCAAGGCATTCTTTGTGGCACATAAAACATCTTTGCTGGACGTCATGTCATCGTCCACAGGAACATTCTCTGAGGACTATGACATGCTGTTACCCCTTGGTGAGGGTCACTTTGCCAAGGTGGTTCTCACTGAACATGTGTGCACAGGGATGCTGGTAGCTGTGAAGGTACTTCAAAAGGAGAAGTTGAGGCCTACTGCTATTATACGGGAGGTCAGCATCCTAAAGGACCTTCAGCACCCCAATATCATCAAGTTGCTGGAAGTCTCAGAAAATAGTACCACTATGTTCCTCGTAATGGAGTATGCACCCAGAAAAGACCTGCAGCAATTTATCAAGCGTGCTGAGACACAGAAGCTGGGGGAGGAAAGGGCCCGGCTGATATTCCGAGAACTCCTGGAGGCTGTGCAGTACTGCCATGACAGCGGCGTCATCCATGGGGACTTGAAACCGGCGAACATATTAATGGACCGTGAAGGCCACCCCAAGCTCAGCGATTTTGGCTTTGCTTTCAGGTTCCTTCCTGGCCAGGAGGTGACCGCGTGTGGATGCACCCTACAGTATGCTGCCCCAGAGTTATTCTTACAAAAGAAATACCAAGGCCCACCACTGGACATTTGGTCTTTAGGGGTAATTTTATATGAAATGGTCGCTGGGGTACGCCCATTTAGTGGGCCCAAAACAGAATTGATGAACAATGCCCTAAACGGGCGATACCAGTTTCCCCAGCACTTCTCCAAAGAGGTGCAAAGCTTAATTAAGGGTCTTCTCAACCCTGACCCTAGCATGCGCCCTACCTTGGAGCAAGTAAGGCAGCATCCATGGCTTCGGCTTGAATCTGTCCCTTGTCGACCTCCTCAACTGCTCCCCAAAGCCAAAGAAAGGGCAATAGTGGACTTTTTGGATGGGAAGGGGTACAACCCGCTGAAGGTGATTGATGCAGTGAAGTACAGAAAATACAATCGGTACATGGCGCCCTTCCTGCTACTACGGGGCATGGCACTCCGGAAATTCCACTTCGGGTCTGAGGTGAAGCCCACACACAAACGTGAGGCTGAACATCTGTTTGAACAGTCCACAAACAAAGATGACAATCTGCTATCTGCATCTCCTCCCCCTGTAGCTGCCCCACCAGCTAGGAGGGTCAGTGAGCCCTGCCTCTTCACTGGCCACTTCCTCCCCGAGGTGAAGCCTCTTGGCCAGCAAAGGAAGACAGTCTCCCTGCCAACTGACATCAGCAGGACTCCCCCTGCTCGCACATCCTGCCAGCCCGGTCCAAACTTTATTGGTACCTCTGGCCAGCCAGGCCCTGCTTCTCCCATCAAGTCCTATCATCCAGAACCTGCTACCCCTAAAGCATCGCGTCAACCAAGCCCTGCTTCTCCCATCAAGTCCTACTATACAGGACCTGCTACCCCTAAAGCATCCCGTCAACCAAGCCCTGCTTCTTCCATCAAGTCCTACCATTCAGGGCCTGCTACCCCTAAAGCATCCCGTCAACCAAGCCCTGCTTCTTCCATCAAGTCCTACTATACAGGACCTGCTACCCCTAAAGCATCCCGTCAACCAAGCCCTGCTTCTTCCATGAAGTCCTACTATACAGGACCTGCTACCCCTAAAGCATCGCGTCAACCAAGCCCTGCTTCTTCCATCAAGTCCTACTATACAGGACCTGCTACCCCTAAAGCATCCCGTCAACCAAGCCCTGCTTCTTCCATCAAGTCCTACGATACAGGACCTGCTACCCCTAAAGCATCCCGTCAACCAAGCCCTGCTTCTTCCATCAAGTCCTACCATTCAGGGCCTGCTACCCCTAAAGCATCCCGTCAACCAAGCCCTGCTTCTTCCATCAAGTCCTACTATACAGGACCTGCTACCCCTAAAGCATCCCGTCAACCAAGCCCTGCTTCTTCCATCAAGTCCTACTATACAGGACCTGCTACCCCTAAAGCATCCCGTCAACCAAGCCCTGCTTCTTCCATCAAGTCCTACTATACAGGACCTGCTACCCCTAAAGCATCGCGTCAACCAAGCCCTGCTTCTTCCATCAAGTCCTACTATACAGGACCTGCTACCCCTAAAGCATCCCGTCAACCAAGCCCTGCTTCTTCCATCAAGTCCTACGATACAGGACCTGCTACCCCTAAAGCATCCCGTCAACCAAGCCCTGCTTCTTCCATCAAGTCCTACCATTCAGGGCCTGCTACCCCTAAAGCATCCCGTCAACCAAGCCCTGCTGTTCCCATCAAGTCCTGTAAAACCAGCCGTGCCTCTACTGAGTCATACTGGCAGCCCAACCCTGCCTCTCCCGGTGAGTCCTTCCAGCACAGCCCTGGGACTCCAAATGCTGCCTTCACTGCTGCCCCAGCCCCTGTCAGCAGTAGGAGGTGGGGCTGGAAAACTGTCAAGAGAACCATGAGAGACTGCCTAAGGGCCCTGTGCTGCTGCCCCGTATCGACATGCAAGTGTCACAAACACAAGGTGGTCGAGGGTAAGTACTGCACAGTAGAGAACCAGAGGTCACTCAAGGAGTCTGAGTGGTCCGGCTGCTTCCTCAGAATGTGCTGTGTCTCGATATCATTTTCAACTGTCAGGGAAGAACTGTAGGGAGGAGAGGAGGGGAGGGAGAAGGGAAGGTGTGGGCAGAGGCCAGGTGTGGGTAGGAGGAGTTGCAGTGGGTTCTGCTGCAGAGGAGGCTGGAGTGACCACAGCCACCACTGTATGCTGTGTTTCCCAGTGAGCGTGCATTACACATGTCTCCTTGCATTTGTAGTGCAGATCCATGATCCCTCCTATGGACGTGGTCATCCTGACAGCGAGGTCAGCCATGCAAGTGGAAGCCACAGTGAGTTGCCTTGCAGCCCTTTGTGCAGGGAGCTGGAGGGGAGAGGAGGAGTCAAGATCACTAGTGTATCCTGTGGGTGAGAAGCAGAGGGAGGGGTTGGTGCACAGCATGGGAAGGCTGCACAGGCACCAGGAGCTGAGAGCCAGTGAGAGGAAGACAGGAGGAGCAGGGGGGAGAGTCACCTGGCTTGTATCCTGCTGTCTGAGGGAGGCTGCCCCAGGGACAGGGAGGGCTGGGCACCATGGACCTGACCACAACCTCCCATGAGGATGCAGGGAGACCTGGGTACCATGGACCTGACCACACCTGACCACTACCTCCCTTATTGTGCCTGGCAGTAGGGTGTGTTCTGGGAAGAGCAAGGGGTCATCTACCATCACCCCCACACATCCCCATGAAGAGACATGGACCCAAACCCTGGTCTTCTGAATGCTGTCCCCAAGTCTGTGTCTGCAAGCCTTTGAAAGGAGCCCATTGAAGTCTTGTGTCAGTAAACAGAGACTCATATCCAGCCTTGAGGGCACACAGGCATGCGTGTTGTGGGGACAGAGTTTGGAACAAGAGAAATCTCCACACGTGAGGGTGTTACTTGCCACCGTGGGAACAGTGACATTTGGTAAAGAGAAGACATTCGTGGCTTCCAAACTGTGGTCTGTGTTTGCAGCACCTGGGGCAGGATCTGAACCAGAGAGTGTTCAGGGCAAGTTGGAACATGCACATAACACATGTCATGGTGCATCTTGCTTCTGCATTTTCTCATTTTCTATCTTTGTACTTGTTTTCTGCCTTGAGGCTTGTAAATTGCTTATGGTCAGTAGTTTATTACTAGTATTGGGACCTCTTTAGGAAATGACTATTTTCAGAGATGTTCTGTAGGGGTAGCTGGCTTTGGATTCTGTCATCCCAAGATTTTGCCTCTTCTTTTCTTAAAGGAACTTTTTTTTTTTTTTTTTTTTTTTTTTTCAAAACGAGAAACTATGGAATTTCTTTTTTGGTACTGGGAGTCAAACTCAGGGTCTTGTGTTTGCCAGGCAGGAGCTGTGCCACTGAGCTCCATCCCCAGCCCTGCCTCTTCAGTTCGGTAGGAATGAAGGGCTGCTGCCTGTTTGGCCCAGCACCCAGTTCTTATAGTTCTGTAGTCCAGAACTACAGGATTGTTTGTGCCCCTCAGACAACTGAGGTGGTGGTGTTCAAAGAAGATCAGTTGATGCCAATAACTCTGTCACTTTGGCTAACATAGTACAATCAGCTATAACAACTGCAACCAACACAGCCAGGAAATGATAAACTCTTATGACCAAGGACATGCCTGCTTTAATCACAGGTATGAGATTTGTAGTTACACAGCCAACTATAAGGCAAAGCAGAATATTATATACAGTAAGTATATATTCAGTAGAGCAATTTGCCCTAAAGGGAGAAAATTTATTAGGGATACCAAGAAAATATAGAAAAATAAAAGAGAGATAAGAAGACTGAAGTACAAAGGGAGATTACCAGGCCTTAGAAAACGAGTGATAAAACAGGAGCAAAAAGCAGGACCAAAACAGAGAGAAAAATACAAAAGCTGAGAACAATGTACACAGGCAGGAAAAACAAAACACAAAGACAAAAAGTTCTCTGACTTTAAACCTGTGGCAGGCCTCTGCAGTCTGTGGTCTTATTGCAGTGTCCAGTGCAGAGAAGACAGTGGAGGCACTCCAAGCCCAGCTGCGTGCTGTCAGATCCCAGCAAGCCTGCAGTAGTGTTTCGGGCCGCTGAGTTAGCTAGAAATACTATAGGCAGGGAGACAGGGCTAGGTCCTGAAGGAGCCAGTGCAGGAGCTCTGATACCTTGCAGCTAAGGGGAGACAGGCACCTCCTGCTGTGGGCCAAACCTCAAGACAAAAGATCAAACAAATACATCCATAAGGACTGATGTTCTAAATAGCTTCTTAGCACCCCGCAGAAGTCAGGAGTCACCATTCCAACCCCCTAGGGAAGATTCACTGCTCTCTAAGAATGCCTGCTTTCTAAGTGGCTCACTTCCCCATTTGTCCCCAATTTAATGAATTTACCTGAACTATTAATCTTATTGGTTAACCATAGTTCTGCCCTACCTTATGCCCATCTGCCTTGTGAGTTCCCAGTTTTGCCCACAAGTCCATCTCATCCCATGATTTTCCTCTATAAACGTCCCTGGGAAAGACAGAGTCCCACTGCTTGGGACTCCTCCTGTCTCTCTCAGACAGAAGCTTGCTTTCTCTCAATAAATATATTTTACTCTTTACCTCTATTGTTCCTAAAATTTACTCTTTGATTTTAGAGAACACGAATTCACCTTCAGCCGGTTGTACCCCTTCCCAGCCATAATGTGCAGTATTGCCCTTTCTGTGGCTTTGGGGAGCAGTTGAGGAGGATGACAAGGGACAGATTCAAGCTAAAGCCATGGATGCTGCCTTACTTGCTCCAAGGTAGGGCACATGCTTGGGTCAGGGTTGAGAAGCCCCTTGATTAAGCTTTGCACCTCTTTGGAGAAGTGCTGGGGAAACTGGTATCGCCCCTTTAGGGCATTCTTTGTCAACTGTGTTTTGCTCCTCCTGACATAGTAGGTCAGGAGTTTCACTCCCCTATATCATTTGGAGGTCTTCCACTGAGATCAGCCAGCTTGGTGCATGCTCCAGTATCTTAACAGTATTGAAAGTATGGCTCACATCATGAGTCACTTAGTTAAAAATGTTCACAGTATGTTGTACATCTAAGAAAGCACAATAAATACAACATATTATGGACCTTTTTTTTTTTTTTTGTCCCAGGGATTAAACTCACAACTTGCAGTTGTCAAGCAGGCACTTATGCCACTGAGCTAAATCCCTAGCCTGATTCTACAGACTTTTAAAACTAACTGTGTGGTCCTTGAGACAGTAAACTGTCTGCATTCAAGGCCTGGATCCACCTGAAACTGCATGTACAATTCAGGTGAACTTACGTCTTGGCTTGCTGGCCTTAAGAACAGTAAGGATACCCTAGCAATAATTAAAATCTGTTGTGACTGTCACATCTTTTGTCTTTTTTTTCCTTTAGATCACCTTATCTCCTAGGTTACTGAATTAAACAGTGTATGTAAAGGTCCTGGAGGAGTGATGTTCCATCAAGTGTCACACATGTATTTTATTTTAATTGTGGTTTTTGTTAATCTATGTTCAAGCAGAGGTAGGAAAGTTTATGTTCACGTATAGAAAAATCTCTTGCATGTGTATTTCAACAAAAGAATATGTAATAGAGCAGTAATCCTTCTTCACTTATTCTTAATAATAAAATAAACTGATTACTATGTGTACTGTTTCAGGCACTTAATAAAGCCCAATATAACACAATACAAACAATACTGATGCCACTGGATATTAAAGGAATTAAGCAACTGAGCTATACTAGACTTCATTTCAGCATTTTAGATCCTTTCAAAGGACTACACTTGAATGTCTTTGCACGATGACCACTTAGTTCTTTATACTCTGACCTTGGTTAAGCCCAAGGTCAGCCCAGTTATGTTCCTTTTGTTACCAGGGTTCTCCAGGTGATCAGGTGACTGATTGCTCCACTCCTGATTGGTCAGCTTCCCAACCTGAAGAAGAATCTTGCTTGGAACCTGTCAAAATCCCACCTGCATTCCTCCTCCTCAGCCCCACATCACAAGCATCGCAGCAGTATAAGTCAAGGCCTCTCCAGGCAAGAGACATTTGACTCTGAAACTCAGGAGAGTGGAGACTCTGCCTACTTGCAGCCAAAAGATTATTCCCGTGAACACATGGACCACTATGCCCCACATTGTGATCACAACCACCGAGATGAGACCCATGGGAGCAGTGACCGCAGACACAGAGAATCTCGACACTGCTCCAGGGACATAGATCGAGAGCAGGACCACAATGAGTGCAACTAATTGCAGAGCCATCATAAATCCAAATAGGGATGTTTACGTCCACCAATGACTTTCGCCTTTTTCTGCTTTTTCCATGGTTTTGTGTAATAGCACAAACAAAACTTTTCAAGTCTACCCTCAGTCATGTGACCCGTCTTGTATATTTTGTATTGCTGTTGCTTCAATAGCAATGGCATGAAATTAAGAGCATTAATTTCTATTTTGATTTTCCTAAGTGCTGTACACATTTGCCTGGTGCAGCTGCAGTCCTCTGGTTTTACACTAGACCCTTCAGAACCTGGTTTGGGTAGCTGTTACTTGGGAAAAACCTGCCATCCCAACAATGTTAGTGTTTCAAGAAATATAGGTGTATCCAGCAATCGAGAAGTAACACAGATCAAAAGTGGAAATTGTTTCTCCAGATTTTTAATACTGAGACACCTGATGAGCATATTCATTTATTTATTCATGGACCACTGTTTCTTGCTTGTACCTCTGGCTGACTAAACTAGGAACAGATTCAGTCTTGCAAGATTGTTGCAAAAAACAGAAAAAAAAATTCGTCTTCTACTTGAAAAAGCCCATCTAAATTTCAAAAATATAACTATTCTTCCGGGAGAACATGGCGGACAGATAACAGCAACTACCGGAGGCTCTCTGAAAAACTAGGCTCAGAAGCCAGGTATGGTGCGGACTAAAGAGACATAAGCAGGTGGAGTTATGCTCTGCTGACTCAGGATCGAAGTCGGCTGAGAGAAACCAACTTGGAATGCAGTCCTGGTGCTAAAACAGGAACAGAAAAGCCTCTGCTGGACCCCGCACCATTGGAAGCCGCGATTTGGGTTTCCCACCGCGCGGTGGCTGGCTGCCTCTATATCAGCTCAGCAAGGCTAGAGACACACGGAAACTCTGAGAATGGGAGTCTGCGAACGGAGTCGAAAACAGGACGGGCAGGGAGGCATGTTCTGACTTGTGGCGAGGTCAGTGAGAGAAACTGACACTCCACCACAGTTTGAGTCCAGCGGACTTCCTGGGCCCGAGCAGTCCTGCGGGAGCAGGGCGCGGTGGCGACTCCAGCCACACATTCCCCTCTCGGGCGGGATTGGTGAAAAGTGCCTGGCCTGCGTGACGCTGCTGGCGGACCCCGTAGGCTGGCCCAACCCAGATCCCAGAGCCCGACGGAGGCCGGGAGGGGCGGGCCCCGCGTAGGCTGTCTGGTGCGCAGCAGTGAGTGGGAACACCTAACCGGCGCAATTCAATCAGGCTGTGGCTGACAGGGAGAGAAGCTGGGCCTCTCATATAAGCTTGCATATATAAGGAACAGGGAATATGGGAAGAGGCAGCAACAAGAAAGGCTCCTCGGCCCCCAACTCTGAGAAACAGGCAATAGCGGACAGCGCACCAATAGACATAAAGCGCCATATAGAGAGCCTCATAGACCAATTCAGGAATGAAGTTATCAATGACCTGAAGCTAGAAGTATGCAAAATTGTTAGAGAAATGCTAAGCACCACCCAAGAAAAAACAGATGGTGGAATGGAAGAACAGAAAAAGAGGGGAGAATTGTTTGATGGAGATAACAGGGAAAGTAAAGAATACGTGAAGCAGGTTCAAAGGGACTACCAAGAAACTAAGAAGTCTATCGAAGACTGGCATAACAGCTTGAAAGAAACTAAGGACAGACTATCTGAACTGGAGAGCAGAATTGTAATATGGGAGAATGAAATGAAAAACTTCTTGAAAATAATAAAGAAACAAACAGCAATAATACAAAGACAAGAAGATGATAAGAGGATCCATAACTTAAGGATTAAGAACATAAAAGAAGAAGTAGGGACACAAACAAATGAACTACAAAAGCTACTCACAGAAATAATCCAGGAGAATTTTCCTAATTTAGCAAAAGGTAAAGATACTCAGATGTATGAGGCATACAGGACCCCAGCTACCTACAACCCTAACAGAGAAACACCCAGGCATATAATAATAAAAATTCCAGAAATTCAATACAAGAACAGAATATTAAAAGCTGTCAGAGACAAGAAACAGACCACTTACAAGGGAACACCCATCAGAATTGCAGCAGATTTCTCTGCACAAACCATCAAATCACGAAGAGCATGGGGGGAAATAATTCAAGCTTTGAAAGATAATCTCCAGCCAAGATTGAGATATCCTGCACAACTGTCCCTGGAAATTGATGGAAAAACAAGGTGCTTCCAGGATAAAGAGGAACTGGGGGAATTTGCAACCACCAATTCAACTCTAGAGAGAGTATTACAGGATATTCTAAAAAAAGAAAAATACAAAGAATCCAGAAATAGTGGAGGCCACAACGAATGGAGCAGAGAACAAAGTGAAGAAGACAAACTGACAGCTACTGACAGAATAAGAGCTCAACAGAAATGAGGCAGAGAAGATTGGATGATAGGAACAGCTATTTTGGAGAAAATGACATCTTAATAGGTAATACTGATTTAGTATCATCTTGTTTTGAAGTCTCATCTAGCTTTTGTCCTTCTGTCTCCATTGGTCTAAACAGGTTGTATCTTATTGGATTTTATTATGTACGATAGTATAAGCAAAAACCTTTTAAAGACAAGGAGATTATACAGAAACCATTGTTCATTTTCTGTTAGTCGATTCTAAATACTCTGTAATGCTGTCATTCTCTTAAATGGTTTTACATTGTTTTGATATACTTAATGCTACAGTATACGAAGTTGTACTCAAGGATTTCAAGGAAAGAGACAATATGGTAACTACTTTTAGGTCAGGATTATCTGGTGGTGAAACACTATTCTGCTTAAATGGTTATGTTTTGATCTGCGCTGTTTCGTTGTTATGCCCTCTTTTATCTCAATCTCCACTCCATTATTTACTTTTTTATTTTTATCCTTTTAATTAAAGGAAAAAATAGCAGGATATATTATAGTAACCCACTTTGACTTTCCATTACCTCGATTTAAAGCCCTGTATTACTCTCACCATCTGGTTTTTAACTGATGTTCCCCTATTCTGTTTTGCTGGATAGTATCAGGTTCGAAAATTTAGGCATCAGCTGTGAAGATAATGAGACTCATTATAATGCCCATTCTCATTGACTTTTATCTACTTTTGAAGACCTACAATGTCTCCAATGTTTTGGTTTTGTCGGTTTTATTCTTTACTGTTTTGTTCAATTGTATTATAACTAATGATATAGGCAATTCTATTAGAGATAGCGGGAGGCATTATGGTAACCATTGTTGATCACCTTGTATTATGTTTTCACATTATCTATTATGTCCACCCTTTTGACTTGACCGATTGCGTTCTGTTATGTCCCATTTGGTTTTACTCTCTTCCAAAAAAGTAATAAGAACCGTGGGAGCAATGAAACCCAAATTGTACAAAAGAGAGGAAAAGAAAGTGCTCTAAACTATATAACTGCATGTATATTTAAGTGTATAAGATAGAAAATGATATCAGAGTTTTATTGGATCATTGAACAGAACTGTTTGCAGTATCATTGATGGAATGTCAACTTTACAAGCTTTAATTTTGTGACTTGAACAATTATTTCTAAGATGACAGTATGTAATCCATTAACTAGTGATTTCCTACTGTTCATTTTTTTTCTGCAAATCTGTATAACTTGTACCCTTTCTCTGCTTTTTTTCTTTTCTCCTTAAATAGAATTAAAAAATAAATAAATAAAAATAAAAAAATAACTATTGTGCCCAATGTGACTGGTGATCATAGAGATAAAAAAGAAGTTCTTGCATGTGCTATGGATATCTGGGAGCCTATGCCGCACAATTACTTTTGTTACCTATGAAAAAGCCTTTTTTTTTTTTTTTGTTAAGTATGTAATTTCAGTAAAACAGTGGCCTGCCATGTGGGCAATGGCCCACCCTGGGACAAAAAAAAAAGCAGTGTGCCATCCGGATAAAACCTGCCTCTGATCCAGAATGCCAAAACCATGTTTTCCTTTTGTCCCACCCCAATTGGACAACCAGAGATGAGGAGGTTCCTTATCGGTATCGCCAGTTCTTCTCAGTAGCCATTAGGGCACCCCAGAAAACCCACCAATTTGCCCAAGAGAGCAGAGGTGAGGCAATTGGCTCAACAGAGACTTATTAGTCTCCCTCGGGGTTTTTTGAAAAGAGTGCAAAAGCCCTATCACATTTATACACCAGTAGTGGCTAAAAATGCAAGGGCCATTAATATTGCCTTTGTAACCCAGTCGGCCACTGATATTAAGCAAAAATTGCAAAAGTTTGAGAGATTTGAGGAAATGCCCTTCAATCAGTTATCAGAGGTTGCTTAAAAGATATTTGACAACCGGGAGGACCCTAAAGACCAGGCTTAAGAGGTTTCTGCTGGGCAGAAAAACTGCATTGGTTGTTGGACTTTCCATAAAAAAATAAAAATAAATGACTCTTTCTTCCCAGCAGATGCAAGCCATCCAAAAGATTCCAGTGCCTGTGACTAAAAACCAAGTGCAAAAATTTCTAGGAGCCATAGGACTGATGCAGAGTTTGGGACCCTGGCAGAGGCCTGTTGCCTATCTTTCCAAGAGACTTGATTATGTGGCAGCCAGATGGCCACCTTGTCTGTGGGTGTTTTCCTCGGTAGTCATCCTGATAGAGGAGACACAAAAACTGACTTGTGGACCAAAATTCTTAATTGTCTCCTCCTATTCGCTGGAGACTCTCATCAAGCCTCCACCGGACCAATGGCTGCCCAACTCCCAAGTCATGCATTATCAGGCATTACTTTTAGATCTGACTACCATCAGTTTCAAGGGGACAGCGGCTTCAAACCCTGCTACTCTGCTGCCTGATGATGCCCCTCCTTGCCCCTCCACATCTGTATTGGGGACCAGACTTGACAGATGAGCCACTATTCAGAGTTCCTTTGTATTTCTCCGATGGAAGAAGTTAAATTTATCCAGGTAAGTGGGTCGTGGGAGCAGCCATTACTACAGACTCGCAGATTCTATGGGAACCAAGCCTGGAGCCAAAAACATTGGCCCAACAGGCTGAACTCATTGCCCTCAGTGAGACCTCAAGTTGTCAGTATGCATTTGTTACTGCCCATGTTCATGGGACCATTTATAAAGAATGGTGCTTATTGTCTTCTGGGGCCAAAAGATTAAAAATGTTTCCCAAATTTTGGACTTGTTGGCTGCCATCTGGATGCCAGGAAGAGTGGCTATTATCCGCTGTAGAGCCCATTGAGCAGGAGATGGCCTTGTTATATGAGGAAATAATTTGGCAGATGCCACCACCCACAAGGCAGCTGTAGAATCAGTGGGGATTTGAGATAGCCCTGACATTACTGCATTCCCACCTACTTTGTCAGAGCCTATTTGCACTTGAAAAGACTTGCATTTGGGGACTAATATCAAAGCTTGCCCAGCCTGTGAGCCTCAGATGCCCTCAGTGCCATTTGGTGAACCCAAAGCAACCACTCACTATGGGACTATGCCTAGAGAACACTGGAAGGTAGACTTTACAGAAATGGGGAAGCCTGGACTTCAATGATATGAGTATTTACTTGTAATGGTTGATAGTTTCACTGGATGGATAAAAGCTTCTTCTACAAAATCTGAGTTAGCTGTGATAGTCAAAAAGCTCTTATGTGAGGTTGTCCCACAATTTGGCCTCCCCTTATCCATCGGGTCTGAGAATGGCCTGGTTTTTATGGCCCAGATAACTCAAAAACTAACCAAAGCCTTGCAGATCAATTGGAAACTCCATTGTGCTTACTGCCTTCAAAGTTCAAGACAAGTAGAAAATATAAACCAGACATTAAAGATGGTAATTAGTAATGGCCTTAGAAACTGGTGAGAACCAGGGCAGTCTCCTTCCTTTTTTGACCTCTTGCATGCCCAATGTACCCTCTATGTTACTGATATTTCCCCTTTTGAGGCTTTATATGAGAGAACTCCTCTTATACCTAAGATTTCTGAGGAAAAATTAGCTGATTTAGCTAATCAAGATCTTATTAAGTCTCCCCAAACTCTTCAGGGAGTTCTGACTTCTATCCACCGGTTATTTTAACAACAACATCCTCCACCTGCAGCCCACTGAGAGGACAAACACCCTGCTGTAGAGCCTGAGTCGCCGGTGCTCATCAACAGGCTTCACCATGGATCTCTTGAGCCATTGAAAAGGTCCCTACATTGTAGTCCTCAGCACTCCAACTGCTATCAAAGTAGCCAGAAAGCCTACCTCGATGCATCATTCCCACTTCAAGCAGGTCCTGGCTTCCAAAGGCGATCAACCTACAGATAAGTGGACTGCCATTCCCTCCAAGGACTCTTTAAAGCTCAGGATTGCCAAATGTAACTAATAATCTTATGTTCTCCCTTATGGAGACCCCAAGGAGGCCTCTATCTGGCTTTTAAAAAATTGTTAATTATGTGACAAAACAGTGAATTTAAATGTTGGTTTTCTTTCTCCTTTTGGTTTAACAGCTTTAATAATGGTAGCTGCAAGAACTTTGTTAATCTTCCTATTGGGCCTTGTATTATACACAGATTAGTAAACTATGTCAAAGGTTCAAATTATACAGCTTATGATTTTAAAGACGCAAGGTTATAAACAGGTACCTATGTCTGAAAACCCATGAGCCAATGATTTGGTGCACTGACTAAAATCAGTGGGGAAAGCTGTACACTAGCTAAAAGAGCTTTGTTATGTTTGTATTAAGCCAAAGTACCTGTAACGCCGCCTACTGTTTTGTATGCATTTCCCCCCCTCTGGGTGACCTAACTGATATGTTAATCAATGCTCCCTTCTGTAAAAAATTGTAAATCCCGGGAACCTAACCTAATTGATATGTTAACCATTGTTGCCCTCTACTAATAACAGATGTGGTGCTAAAATCAGCTGACAAAGAATTAACTAATGCTAGACTACTCTGTCCTCTGCTAAGGAAAACATTTCCTTAGCAGATTTCCTGATCCACCCCCATAACCCCTTTACTTTGTAAACTCTGCTCTCTACAAGAGGCTAGAAAGCCTTAAGGAGGACACACAGCTTTTGCAAATTCCAACTGCACTGTGTTACAGGGCCCAGGATAAAATAAATCAGCACTGCTTTTTGAAAATAAAAACATGTCTTGCCCATTTTTGAACTTGAGTTTAGGCTTTGGGGGGCTTGTTTGTGGATTACAAGATTTAATGGCATATTTTTATTATTTTATTCTTTCACATGTTATATTAGTTGCTAAAGTTACTGGTATTCCTTGCTTAACTATATTTAGACAATAGCACCACAGATGATAATAGAACACCCTCAACAGTCTTTAATATAAATTTCTATTAAATGGTTCTCTTAAATGAAATCTAGTTCAGACTTAGAAAACTTACATGCCTACAATAAAACATGGGACTCGTTCCACCATTTAAGATGCACTAGGCTGGTGGCCATGCTTCGGACTTGAAGGACAGGTTTCACTGAGACAGACTGGCTCTGATCCTCCTTTATCCTCCAGAGGAATGTCAAGCCTGTTCTGCTTCAGTTTCCTTTGTTTCACTTTACCTCTTACTCTCTTCCCACTTTACATTTTCCTAATAAAGGCATATAAAAGTGGGAAAAACTCTAGATTATTCCAACCTTTTCCTTCTGAGTTAAGCCCATAGAAAATGAGCATTTGCTAATGCCAAGGACAGGGAAGTCATCTTAGATGAGGGACACATACTCCATCTCTGAATCAGATGAGACATCAGAATTGTGCCCATTCAGGAGAATACACATGAAAGCTGTGTCCCAGCTCAGTGTTCTGGGCAAATCTCCTTTGGAAATTAAACCCAAGACACAGTGGGGAGAACCAGTTTCCATGTGGCAATGGAAGCAGCTATCCTTAAAAGCAGCACACATAGGGGACCTAAACCTATTTAGAATAAGGAGACTTTCCAACCTCTCCAATTATGGACTTAAAAACCTTTATTATAAATTGATAAAGAAGTAAGTAATGATCTTGCTCAGTCTTTTAATTATCCCTCATAGAATTTTGACACACAGTGGTCACTGTGCCAGCTAATTATCCTTATAGCAACTGCCACCCTCAAAATCAGAGGCTAGCTTTCCCCAGCATCTGTTTGGTGAATCCCCATGGAAGCCAGTGGCCAATGGAGTCAACAGAATGTTGACCAGACAGGCAGCTGGATTCCTTTTTGGAGACTGATGTCTGGTTATCTGAGGCAATAGAAACTGAGAACTGAGGGTTCCTGGCCAGAGTAACACCCTGGTTGTCACCCAACATTTCCTCAATGGACATTTGCTCATGACCATTTAAAATCTCCCCTTTTCTATCATTCTTATTTCTCTGCTAGTAGACTAAAAACATTCTAAACTTTTCAATAGATCTTCAGATCACTTAAACTACCCGTCCCTTCAGAGATTATACTGAGGTAGCTTGCAATGATTGCTTACATTCCATAGCAGCTAGTAGGGAAATGATTTACCTATGTTAATTAAAAGTAAATAGACTTGAGCAATTATTTCTTTTTTTTTATGTATTTTTTTTGTCTTTTTCATTTTTATCGGTACCAAGGATCGAACTCACGACCGCCTGCTTGCAAGGCAGGTGCTTATGCCGCTGAGCTAAATCCCCAGCCCTTGAGCAATTATTTCTAAGATGACAATGTGTAATCTATTATCTAGTGATTTCTATTTTTTTGAAATTCTGTGTTACTTGGACTCTTTTTCAGTTTTTT